CAGCACTTTATATTATAAACAACGAATAGTTACCTTATTTTGTACACTGTAAAACGCGCATGCGCTGAACAGAATTTTAAATTTCTTTTGTCTTGTAAAAATTTTAATGGTACAAAAATTGTTTAATTGTACGTTTTGTACTTATATGTAAAAATATGTAATTTTGTTTTATTGAAATATATACGAATACTTGTGTTGTAAAAAAAAAAAAAAAAAAAAAATTGTAATTAAGCACTTTATGTGGGGAAGGAGGGGCGCAAGATAGGTGTTTGCCCCAGGCGCTATTTTTTTTTTTTTTTTTTTTTTTTTTTTTTTTTTTTTTTTAATTTTACATTTGTTAGTCGTATTACAACTTGCCAAAAAAAAATAAAATAAAAATAATGATGATAATAATAAACTTTCACAAATATAAAATAAGGTATCTGAAAGAAGATCAAAGGATCTTGTCGTCAGAACCTTAAATAAGTTCAAACAAGCATTAACAGTATCAAATTTTTACAAATTTCATATATATATAATCCAAATATATATTTTATAATCCAAAGAGAGATCACGCGGATCTACTCACTAATATTTTATATAAACGTATACGTGAAGTAAAGAATATAAAATCAGCAAAATAAGTAAGAATAAACTTTTTACAAATATAAATAAGAAAAGGCAAAGTTATTAATTTATATTATTAATAATAACATAATACGTCTTCTAATGAAAAAATAAGGGTTTTTAATTTACTTTTAAAAAAACGAAAAGTAATGGGTAGTTCGAAATCAAAATTGGGCAAAACAATTTTATTCCAAAGGTGTGGTGCCCGATAGACAATACAAAATTGATTAAAGTTCGTTTGACAGAAAGGTTCATTTAAAAAATCAGTATTTCTCAAATTGTATTTGTTGATGGGTTTCGGAGTAAAAATATCTTTGAAGACAGATTGAGACAAGTCATTTTTCCACATGTATACAAAGCATAAAACATTATATATATTTAGCTCGTATATATTTAAAATTCTCATTTCAATAAAATAATGTTTTGCGTATTTACTACATACCCTAGGTACGCCACTGTGTTCATTATATATCAGTGACAATTTTTAAAGGCAACTTTTTTTTTAAAGTGTTGAGAACATTCTAATGCTAATTAATTATACATTATATTTGTGTCGCAAGAGTAAAAAAGAGGTAAAATCATGGTTATCTATGTGTTCAGGGCCACCTTCCAATTTTGAAACATGCCTTTTATCGAATATTTTTCTTTTTATGTTTTGTATATTAAGGTACACAATAATTTTTTTTTGTTTCTAATTCAATAAATAAATGCTTATACTTTTAAAAACGTCTTTTGACACTGTTTTCGTTAACATATGTGTACAATATATTTTTTTCTAAAGTGTCCGGGGCTATCCGACTTTCCCCTAAGTTTTCATTTAAAAAATATCTAGTAATTATCTGTAAAAAAGTTTTTAGTTTTGAAGTTATTTATATAAAGCATCGGAACGAGTAGGAACGTATTGAAACTTTCGTTTAGAATGGAATAAGGAAAACTTTTATCAGTATTTAAAAATAGGCTGATAATCGTTAGTTTGATATAAGATCTAGTTCTTTGTTTGCTGTTTTAAAAAGAGAGATAATGTTACTGTGAGAATAAAAAAAGTTGTCTGCAAATATGATAGTGTTTAATGCTCTATATAGATCGTTGACATATATTAAAAACAGTAGAGGATCTAAGATGGAGCCCGTGGAATCCCACATAGTATTTTAAGTTTTTTTTGTTTGAAAACCGTCGTTTAGAGATATAAACTGTTTTTGATGAGTTAAAAATTGGTAAACCATTTATGGTATTCATGGCATACTCCATGATATTTTAGTTTTTTTCAGTAAAATATGATAATTAACGGTGTCAAATGCTTTTGAAAAGTCTACGAATATACGTCTACTAATATAAGTGAATTTATTATAAGAAGATGCTTATAACTTTTGCATAAGTGCTCCGTAGAGATCGAAACCATATTGGTTTCAATAAAGAAGATTGTTTTCATTCAAAAATGAAAATAGTCTATAATACATGATATGCTCAAGTATTTTTGAAAAAACAGGTAACACGAATATAGGTCAATAGTTTGTAACCAGATTTTCATTTCCTGTTTTAAAAATGAATGTAATTATTGGAACTTTTAGTTTATCTGGAAAGACACCTGTTTTGAGCGATTTGTTCAAAATATCTAATAAAACTTCTTTATTAAATCCGTAACAATCTATGATTAAGCTAGCTGAAATGAAATCATAGCCTGTTGTTGTAGCCGAACCATCAAGTTCTTCACAAGTAAGTTTTCAAATGCTATGTTTTTATTAGACTCCATTAGATAGTTTGAAAAATGTGCAGAAATGTATTTAATTGTACTGGCTATGTTTAGACCTGTATTGACGAAAAACTCGTTAAACTTTGTTGCCACCAATTTTACATCAGGGATCTCTGCGTCGTCTTAAACTTTATTTTTTTATGAAATAACTTTCAAAATAAACTTAGTCAATAAAAATTTAAAAAAGAAGATTACCAGAACACCATGAAAAAAAGTTAACGATTTACTGTTAACTTTTTTTAACGATTTATAGACAAATCTTAAACTATTTTTTGATTTTATTCTATCTTTCATAGTTCATTTTTTATATAACTTCGAAAAAAGTTTTTTTTTTTGTTAATTTAAAAACTGTTCTCAAAAACATGAGCAACCGAGTTCACTGTGCACCAAAACACAAGGAGCCAAGTTCACTATTCACCAAAACATAAGTAACCAAGTTCACCGTCCTCCGAAACATATGGAACCAAGTTCACTTTCTCCAAAACATAAGCAACCATGTTCGCTGTCCTCCGAATCATGAGATAACAAATAAAAAAAAGTTTTTCAACTTTAACTACTGAACATAGCTTTTTTTTTAACTCACTAAACGGAATAATATTGTTAATATTACATATTTAAAATAATATTTGTACGTAACAAGACTTTCTAAAAAGAATTAAACTTTTTGTTTTGTACTGGTATTTTGATGTAAAAATGTCTTCTAAAACATTGTATCTACTAAAAAATGAAACTAAATCAATAATTAATGGCATATTCGTTACTTTTTAGTATCATGACACATCTTTTCAGCAGACTCGATGAGTTTATAAAATATTACTTGTGTCAAGTTGCTTCAATAGCTTTATATAACTTATAGACGTTTTAGGAAAGATGTATAATGCGAGCAAAATTTACGACTAATAAATATATGAATATATTATTAGCAAGATGCTGGTGCGTTCTCTAAGCCAGCACATAGTATAATACACTGTTTTGTTTTGTTGTTGTTGTTGTTGTTGTTGTTGTTGTTGTTGTTGTTGTTTTTTATTAGTATATTTTTTGCTGCATATAAACAAGATTAATTTATGGTTGAGTTTTTCGTAACACATAACAGTAAATAAAATTTTCTTAAACAGACAAGAAATCAAAGAAGATATGGATAATGAAATACCACCAACAGTCTTTTCATTGACCCCCTTAATATAATAAACATTGTCAAAAAAGTTATAAGAAACCACTAAAATATATAACTATTAAAATAAATTACAGATATAATAAGAAAATAAATTGTTTTAACCATTAGTAAGTATATGTCGCAATAACTATTTTGCAAGTTTATAGTTAAATTTAAAGGTTTATAAATATACTAAACATATACACAAAGATTTAATAATCTAATAACTTATTTATTAAATGATAAATATATTATTAGTAACTAATAAGATTTAGAAATACTTTAGTTGAATAAATTATAATAAATTGAACAATTTTAATTTTTTTTTTTTTTTTTTTTTTTTTTTTGCAAGATTAAAAATGTGTTGTTTTTTTTCTTAAAACTTAAACAAATTTAATGATTTTACCATATTTGCATTTTCTTTTTGAAATCAATTCCATAACTTAAGGCCTTGAAATGCTATTAAATACTAGTCCAACATAAAAAAGATTAATTTGTTTTTTTGGTACCCTAGATCACCAGATCTTATCCCTTTCGAATATATTTAGTCATGAATAGAAAATTATTTGTGAGGCCATGGTGAGGCAGAATTTACAAGACTTAAATGACTCGAAAATTTGTTTGTGTTTCTAAAAAATTTCCATAATAAATAAAATAATTATCTTTAGTACAATATTATCTTTATATTATATACCCTTATATTATGTTTATAATACCTATATTATGCAAACGGAAATAATTTAATTTATATACTTAAGAATATATTCTAAATCAGAGATTCCCAAAGTGGTCTCTATAAACCCCCAGGGGTCTATGACAACCTGCAAGGGGTCTACATCAGCGGAAAAAACATTTGGGGGTCCATGAACTGAAAATAAGGGTCCACGATAGTGGATCTTAACACTGATAGTACTTATTTACTGACATTATACTGCCCTACTGACTCACAAAATTTAACAATTATAATCGCAAAATGATCACAGCAGAGCAGACATGCACAAAGCACTACCAAACGTGACTGGCTGATTGACTAAACTCAACTTGTTACCCGCATTATTTGTTCATTAAAAGTTGAGTTCCTTAGCTCTAAAAGAATTATAAAAGTGTTTTTTCTAATTAAAAAAGAAACAGATCTAGACAGATTAAAATTGATGCCTTAAACTTATGTGCATACTTTTATATAATCATAAAGTACAATAAGTTTAAACAAGTTTAACAAACTCCTAAAAGTTAAATGCAAAAACAAAATATAAACAAATAGTAATTTTATGAAAATAGTTAATCATATATAAAAAAAAATACAAATGTTTAATCTTCGATTCTAAACCTATCAAATAAAAATACTATGTGGTTTGTTATACCTTTTAAAATTTTAACTTTGACGTTAAAATTTTTGCGTCGAGATTTTACTAATAAGCTTTATTTTAAGCTGCTTTGATGAAAATATATCTTGTATCAGAGTCGTGAATGAATAAAAAAAGACTACAAAACTACTATGCGGTTTATAAATATATCTTTTAAAATTTTGACGTCGAAGATTCGTTGTTTCCACGCCTTACTTTATGTTGCTCAGTTGAATTAATAACTTGAGCCGGGGAGCTAAATGTTTTTGAAAAGTTTTTTTTCGTTTTATTTGTATTACCTCTCAATGTTTCGTCTGGGTTGTATAAAGAAATTTTCTCTGAATTTACACCAAAATGTTCGTTGAGTAAAGGATTGCCCATTGTACGATCATGGATCAAACCACTTATATTTTCTTGAGAAATTTTCGGTTTTATACTCATATTTCTTTGCGAAGGAGTGCTCTGTTCGTTAAGAAGATGAATTCGATATACTTTCGGTGGTATTCGGCCAAAAAGAATGTTCGAGTCTATTTTTCTTTCTACAGTATGGAATTGAGAATAATCTCTAAAAGCTTTCCAAACTTTTTCACATGACTTCGAATCATTAAAATGATACTTGTGTTTGCTTTTCTGGTTGTCTCTTATTATCCGAAACCACAAGGTTTTGTTAATCCAACCAATATTCCAAATTTCTATCCAGCGGAATATTTCTACCTTTACATCGTTTTGATAAACGCCAATTCCCAACGGACCTAGCGAAAGTAATAGATCACGAAGAGTTGGTTGAGCATCATATTGCACAGGATATATTTCTTGATTATAATACGTTTTCTGAAGTGCTATATCAAGAAACTTCATTTCACTTGTTGGTGCATTAATACCCTTTAATCCTTTATAAATCTAAATAAATTTTTGTTTTATTTATTAATTTATATGAATTTTGTTGGGTATAATGCTAATCAAAAATACAAACTATACAAAAGTTTTACAAAAGTAATTTAATGTAACGAAGATGGCTATAACTGCGTTCAAAGCCAATGCAACCCGGCATGGGGTGAAAGGAGGATGGGTAAATGAGATGGCTTCAATTTTTTAAAAGTTTATCTTAATAACATTTTGCTAAAAAATTAAATGAAATTAATATTTATTATAGTTTGTTGAAAAAAAGTTCAATAAAATATAAAAGAAGTTTAAACGAGTAAAAAAGAAAACATTAATATTGTTTTTATTTGCTGCTTATAAAGTGTTTATAAATGGCTATAACGATATTAACTGTCTGAAATGTTCTAGTTTTATTTTAGACTGTTTATATAAATTTTATTATATCTAAGTTGTGTTATTTATTTAAAGGCATATTTTAAAAACAAGTATAAAAAAAAAGCCTTGCCATTATATCAACAATCTCATTGGATTATTTATATAATCGATTAAGATTTCAGAAATATATTGAACAATGAATTTTTACTATTGTTCCGTTGAACAAACAAGCCTAGTGTTCTTAGGAAAAGACAACACCAAAAAATGTACATGATTGAAGGGTATACATACATATTAGATGTAGAAAGACATTTTTAGCATACGTTTTTATTGAACCTTTTTATTTTACTTTTAGATCATTTTATATTTTATTTTACTAAAAATTAAATAAAAATTAAATAAATTTGTTATTTATGAAATTATTGATAAAAACAATCTATTGCCATGTTTTTTATTTTAGGCGCATACAATTTTTAATTTAAAACCTGCATTTTTGCTATGATGCTTTTCAATTTCAATGATCCATGTTTGTTTACTGAACTTTAAGAAAAGAATTTTTAGGAGTTGAAAAAACCTAAAAGAGTTCAGAAATTATATGTGCAATCATAGTGCATATGCTATACAGTGCATACTTATTTGAAACAATTACAACTTTAGTAAACTATCGCATAAAATGTTATTTATATTATATTGTAAAGGTAATCTTAATCATCAATGTAATTATAATAGTAATCCTGAATCATTTATACAAAATGTTTTATTATTTCGCGCAATGAAACTCTATTCAAACCAATTGATTACGTTTGTACCTGCGCGTGCATAATAAAAAATAAAAGAGATAAAACTTGAGCACCGTGGCGCAGTGGTAAGAGTTCTGGCTCAAAACCCAAAAGTACGAGGTTCGTTGCCGGCTCTAGCCTAATTAGTGACATTGGTAAGGAAGAAAGCGTGACCTTCCAGTTAAATGCTCTCCCGCGGTGCTCTGTGATAAAACCGTAAAGCACCTAAATAACCTTAAAAAAAAAACTAATGCAATTTAAATCAAAAAAGAATTAAAAAAATACCTTTATAACATTCTGCTGCATATAAGTAGAATTTCCCAAAATGTTCTCAAAAAAGTTGAAATATTTTGTTTCTCCATTAAAATCACCTTTAAAAATACAAGTTATGATAATATCTAATATATAGTATGGATTGTATAAATAACATATGTAATAATATACAATGTTGATATAACATACGTCTATAAAGAGTACATTTTTCTATATATTTATACAAAACAAAATAATTTAACCTCCTTCAGCTTGAAGTATATAAGCTAACATCGTTGATCGTTCATCTTCGGAACAGATTACTCTTCCATTCAGAATCTCTCTTCGTAACTGCAAATAAATCATGTATATAGTAATATCTTCTTCTAGTAATGCAAAGTCGCATGGATAGTACCTGACCCCGAAATATAGATGATATGGTGGATCTGTCAGTTTTACGATTTGTGACCAAACACGGCTATTGTTTTTTAACCATAATTTTTTGTCTGTGTTCATGTCATATAAATAAATACCAAAATAATCTTTTTCGATCAAATTCAGTTTTTCAAATATACTTTCGAGAATTTTATTTGCTTTTGTAGATTTAAGTATTGTTATAGAATATTCTGATCCATCTAAAAGTTCAATTTGCACTGTCTTAAAGCTCATTTTAATTTGTTTAAAGAAGAACAAAAAAAAGAAGCTAAAGTATTGCTTCTACTCTTTCTTGAAATTTTTTTTTTTTTTTCTTAAAATAACTATGTATAGCTTATAAAACATTTATTGCGTTATCTTCGCACTATTAAAAAGTATTTGATTACGTTTGAATAACCGTGAATGGTTAATTTAACACCACTGTCGTTTGCGGCAACCATAAAAAATCCGATGTTTAGTAGCTAGAATGTTATATATACCTAATTAGAGGCTAATTAGAAATTAAAAGGCTCAATAATCATAGAAATGTTAAAATAAAGAAAAAAGAAAAACAATACAAAAAGACAATCTGAACAATGAAAAATTTGTGAAATATAAAAATAATTGTGAAATATAAATCAAATAAAAAGAAAAAAAGTGCATATACAGTTAATATTAAGAAAAATGTAATATTAATAATTATATTAGTAATTCATGCAATTGAGTTCAGTTAGTTGTCATAATTATTTATGAAACAACTTTAAAAAATAGTTGCAGCAATAAAAAGAGGATATATATATATATATATATATATATATATATATATATATATATATATATATATATATATATATATATATAAAAGCAGATAAGCTATTGTAGAAAAAAAAAACACACTTCCCAGCTGGGAAAATCTAAAAAATTTAAATCAATTAACAAATTCAATTTTTCATTTGTATGAATTAAAAAATGAAATACAAATTATAAAAAAGGGACATATATCAAAATTTTAAATAAAAAAATTATATTTCCGAACTGATGTGGATTAAAATCTCCATTATCAAAGTTCTTCGCGAAAGAACCAATTTGAACCATTGCTGAGTCAATAACCATTTTTAGAGAAATCAGGGTGGGTGATGTTATATATTTCCGGTAAGCAACACTTTTAATGAATGTGTCGTAATATTAAAAGTAAGCCTGCATTGGAAAAGCTTTTGCTGACGCATGCAATGATTCGGTTGATTATAATCCAGTAACAAAATTCGATGAAGTGGTTCTCAAACTCCGTAACGCGGCTTGATACTACGTGTATTCAACCCTTTTTTATGATTTAATAACGTTTACTTAGCGAAGATACAAACTCAGTTTTTATAGCCAATAATGGAATAGACTTGGATAGACAAAGAGATACTTATTGTATAAATAACATTTACCAATTTGCAGACGTTGCACATTGAGTCCAAATTGTAAAAATATGAACAAAAGTCAATTTTAAAAAGTATTATAATATTATTAATTTTTTATAGTTTAGAAAGTATATTTACCTAATTACTGGAAAACGTGTAATGCAAAGTTTACGAGTTTTACGAGTTTCCCGGGTAACATTTAGCGCTAAATAATTAAAAAAAAATTCCGAGAACATTTCAAGAATTTAAAAAATTTCTAAAGTTAGTTTTTGCATCATTATACAACATTAACAACATTTTTAAATTTTATTTTTTATTGATGATAATGTAAATACTGTTATAAAAAATTGATAAAAAGCAACTCAATTTTTTAGCTTTCGATTTTGTGTTTTTAAAAAGAGATTAACGTTTTCAAAATGTGCATTTTCATGGTCACAAAAACGGAAAAACTTTTAATGTTAACTTTTCACCCTTACTAAGTTTATACCACATTATTATAAATACATTGGGTTAAAAAAAATTAGTTTTCTAGCAGCTCGAATTTATTTTATTTCGGATGAATGTAAATTGTTTCTAAAGACACGAGATGAGCTGGGTTGAAAGAGGGGGTGGGTTAGGGCTAGAAGGAAATTGAAAAATACGAAGTTAAAAATATATTTTGAAGGCCTGGTATGCAGGCGGTACCCATCGTACACAACTTTCATTATAGTTCTCAAACTAAAGTTAATTTTAAAATTAACTCCTGTATTATCTGCAAAATTATTTTCATTTTCAAATACATTTCTGGCTGTGTTATCTGTGTTATCTGTGTTTGAGGAATAATAGCTATGCCTTGGCCGACAACAAGACTGAACTCACTTCTAAACCAATTCTGATTTTCATTTTTTGCTCATTCAACAGAAAGCTTGTGTTTAATTTTCATTTTATATTCCAAGTGTAGGACATGCTCAAAAAAGAGTTTAATCCAACAATGTAAAGTAAATATTCTAATTTTAAAAGATTTATCATTAGGAGTAAACATTCTTATTTTACTAGATTGATCATCTCACTTGATTTTGCAAAAAAAAAAACATTTCACAATTCCGATGAATTTAAAGTTATAAAGCATTTATCGACTTTTCATCAAGCGTAGTTAAGTCAATAATAACTGTAACAGTGCTTTTGATTACTGAAAAGTTCTAGATCTAAAATCGCAGTCCGTTACAGAATGAATTATATCGAATGCACAATTAGTCAGTGTAATCTTTTAGACTTTCTTTTTTTTTTTTTTTTCTAAGACTTTTTTTCTACTTTTGCAATAAATTCACTTGTTTCCTTTGGTATTGTAGTTGAAGAGGTCTACAAAAATAAGGGTTGGATAGTTTTGAATTATTCCAGATGCTTATATCCCAATTCTTAACTTCAAAGGAACTATTTCAGTTTGAAATACTGATTATTCATTCTGTATTTTTGTAGTAAGATTAGTATTATCAAAATTTTGATTGTAAATACTTTTTGAAGATGCCATATTCACCCATGTCATATTTCAAACTAAATATTCTACTTGTCGCAGTTTCGTGTCAATTTTGAAGCTGCTCGAACTTAAGTTTTGAAATTTTGGGCAAAGTATGGTTAAGTTTGCTCTGTAAACTACACTTTGCAGATACTTCAGTAATATGTAAACCCTCTGGATAGCAATCTACTTTTGATTTTAAAATTCTACTAGAATTGTTTTTAACGGGAGATAAGTGTTAGCATTTTAAATCAGAAACGAGTACCAAATAATCTGATATTGTAAATCACTTAAAGCACAATGAATTTTGAGCGACAAAGCTTGATCTGCAGACATCATAGTTGGCTGATGTTTATCACTTTTGTTTGATTGATCTTTTGAAAACATTTTAAAACCCATTCCCAAATCTTTACCAGGACTTAATTTTGCACATAGAGCAGCAGCTCTTTTTTTTATGTTGAAATTATCCGTTCATAGTTTATACTTGCGGTTTTCCGTAGTATCATTTTCTATTTAAAACAATACTGTTTGAAAAATTGAAATTTTGGTTTTTAATAAAATTATGTTAATTTTTATTCTGGTCCGGATTTTAAAGATAAATCAACTTCAGCATTTTTAATCTAAAACAACTCACCCTCTAAGCAGGAGCTCTCCCTCTAACCCTTGTACCTCTTGATTAGTTAATCTTACAAAATTACGTTTATACTTTGCATATTTAACTTTTACATATTCCTACATACTTTTTTTTTTCTGTTTACATTATTTACATGTCGTGATTTACATGTAATACGAACATATAAACTTGGAATCTGGAAGAAGATCAAATCGATCTTGTCGCCAGAACCATATAAAAACTACAATATAAATATAATATAAAATAATACAGGTAGTTTATAACAAAATAAGAATTCAAAACATTTGAAATAAGAAATGGTTAAAATAATATCTCAAAAATATTTAAATATATTATCCGTAGAAAAAATAATATTCTTTAACTTGTTTTTTAAAAACAGAAAAAGAGATAGATGAATCCAAATTAGGCTGTATTATTCCATATATAAGGTGCTCGATAATCTATACAAAATTGATTAAACTTTGTTTGAAAAAAGGGTTCTTTTTCATCAATATAAAGTTTAGGTAAATCATAAGGCAAAAAACGTTTTTTTGTTGAGGAGTGGAAAAGGATCCACTTTGTTTTTTCAATATTTAAGGTTAATTTATTGCATTTAAACTAATTAAAAACTTCATTTAGTTCTTTATTCATATCTAAAAAAAGTTTGTTAATGTCTTTGTTTAATAAAAATAAATTGGTATCGTCGGCAAACATGATGCTCATAAGATTCGAGACCTTATTTAGATTGTTGACGTATACTAAAAAGAGAAGTGGGCCAAGGATAGAACCCTGTAGAACATCACATTTTATTTCAATTAATGTTTTATTTTGAAGATCAATAGGAAGCAATTCTTCTCCGTGGTAGACGAATTGGTTTCTATTTAACAAGTAGCTTCTATACCATTTGATCATTTTACCAGTTATTCCATAGAACTCAAGTTTTTTAAGTAAGGTATCATGATTGACATGATTGATAAATCGTTCGAAGAAAATATATTATTCAAATTAATTAGTAAAATTCAAAGGCGACACTCAGAAAATCCGAATGTCATTAAAGATTTAATTGGTAAAAAAAAGTTATCAACTACTTGTCTTCCAAAAACAATAAACTTTAATGGCGTTGATATACTTAATGAATCAAAAATTGCAAAAACATTTAATCAAGTTTTTGTTAGTGTAGGATCAAATTTAGCCTTAAAACTAAAACCTAGTAAACTAGGTTTTAGTCTTAAGGCTAAATTTGAGTTCATAAGGCTAAATTCTAGCGTAGAGTCTTATTTAACTGCTAACAATATAATAATGACCAACAATAAACTAAAAACTGAAAATAAGACAATCACTTGTGAAGTTCCTCAAGGATCCATTTTAGGACCACTTTTGTTCTTAATATACATTAAAGATTTAAGCAAAGCCTCGAATTTTTTAGACTCTATTTTGTTTGCTGACGATACCAATTTATTTTATTCCCATAGTAATATAAAAACCCTATTTAAAACAGTCAACAAAGAACTGTTAAAAGTAATTGAATGATTTAATACAAATAAATTATCACTAAACTTAAACAAAACTAAGTATATTTTTTTTCATCGCCTATATCAAAGAGGCAAAATTCCTCTAAAGCTCCCAAATGTTAGCATTGGGAATCAATTTATAAAAAGAGAACACTCAATGAAGTTTCGAGGAGTTCTTCTTGACGAAAATATCACATGGATAAACCATATAAAATTAATCAAAAATAAAATTTCTAAAAATATTGGCATACTTTATAAGATAAAACCTTACCTAAATCAAACTTGCTTAAAATATATCTACTTTACTTTTA